AGAGCAATACTAAAGTAATAATAAAGTTTCAAATATAATTGTTCTTGTTATCACTTTAAACTCAGAAACGTTTCGCGCATTCTCAATAAAACATTTTTATCTCCTACAACTTAATGATCGCTTTAAACAGATACTTCCTGAAGTTCCTGTTGTCTCCTTCTAGAAAAGCAGACGTTTAAAAGGAATCCTTGTTCCTGCGAAAGTGAATTACATCCCACCAAAGAATGGTTGTGATCCATGTAATACAGCTCGTTTTCAAACAAGTTCATAAAAACTACTGACCTTTTCTGACAAACATTACCAGAATTTTTAAAGAAATTACTTGTGGCCCACAGAATACCACTTACCTTATACAGTGTGAAAAATGTAGGACATACACAAACAACTCTTAGAGAACGTTTCAATAACCATAAATCTTCTATTAACACTGATAAAGATATTTCTGTTGTTCAACTTCAAACAACCCGGTCATTCTATTCCCGATGTTACTCTAATCGGCATTGAAACCGATTTTAAAACTAAAGCTGATAGAGAGATAAAAGAAGCTAACTGGGTTGTTAATATAAATACTGTTCAACCTAGTGGAATAAATCTAGATCCTGAAATAATTTTTATTTATCTATTTTTTCCATGTAGTGTAAATGCTCATAATATTATACATTTATATATATTTAATATTTCTATTCTTTGACCTTTCAGCCATACCTGGCTAATAATACAGAAGTTACAATGACGCGGCTCACGTGCACTCATGTTACCGTATCAAATAACATAAAACGGACCTTTGGTAACTTGTCTTGGCTGTGTTTTAGTGGACTAGTATTTTGTAAAATACAGTCACATTTCAATTATTATACATTATATATGTATATAGATTATTGCTATTTTTAATTGAGTTCTTAAACATATTTTTCCTAAAACATAGAACAGTAACTAAAGAAGTAAAGCAAACAATTATTTCTTCTAGTTATGACCTTTGTACTCGGTTACTGCTTGACGTGGGTTGTTAAGCCTTTAAAAATTTTGTATGTGGAGGATATGAAACAAAATATTTTTTTTGGGTTTATACATTTGAATAACCAAAAAATAATAAGTTATTACATTAATACCATAGAATTACACTATAATTTATCAAGCTTAGTAACTAAGATATATTTTAGTATAAAAAAATGAAATTTCGAGCAGACTAAAGACACACCCTACCTCGTTGAAATATTGGTTCAAAAAGACAACAGATTTGGCTCCAAGTCCGTTAAAATGGCTTATTGATATCATATATAGAAGTAAGTGTATATAAGGGAGTGTTTCCAAAAATGGAAAGAGGTGGGCGGGGTGCCACTGTGTTTGATTTATTACATGAGCAATATCTTAGCAAATTGAAAAGATAAGAGGCTTTTATTTTATATTCATGAATTCATGAAATAGTAGTTCAAAAAATTTTGAATGCGAGTCAACACACGAGATGACATGGCCTTTCACCCATGACCTGTCTCGAAAGGGTTAACATAATGCTCTCGGTTCCGGCCGTATTGCACCGGATATGAGACACACTTACAACAGTACATTGAAAATTATACAAAAACGCTTCCTGGAAACCCAAGTGACCTTCAACTATTTTTTTTATACATCACTCATCCAGTTACACCAGTTTTCTCCCGAAGAAAAAAGGTCCACCTATCATTTTAACATAATTAACACAACTTTGATGTATGTTAGTAACATATCATTTTGTTTCGCAGTTACGTCAAACAACATTTTACATTAAATTTGTTTACTAAAAATAACTGGTATGCTCGAGATGCGCTGGTTGGAAAAATAGTTACAAATTTATAACATTATATTCTCGTCTCATTTTCTAAGTTTTCATTTGATATTAATAAATGTGAAGTCTAGATATCTATAAAGATTTGTCTTCATTTATTTTCGCGTAAATCTACTCAGGGGCAATCCCTAATTTTAAGTTGATAAACTAGAAAGAAATTAGCTTGTCAAAATCACTCACCGCCAGTTCTTCGAGTGAAGTAATAGAACTGACCGCTACTCTTATTATGTACTTACAGCCTCAAAGTATGGAGAGGGATTTTTTTTTTTTGCGGTAACTACGGAACCGAAACTGGTTATAAAGGCCTGAGATTATGATTCTTAACAATTACCGTTTTAATTTGATTACATTTACGTTTAATAACCTGTTCGTTTTTAAAAAAATAAACAAACACTTGCTCTGAATCATGCTTCTTATCATCTATAGAAATGTTATCTTCAGAGAGCATATTTATTACAAGTATTTAAAACTACATCAAAACAGATGGGTTTACTGCCATTACCGACCAAGGTCGTCACAGTGTACTTGGTCGAGTCTCACATTTCAAGACAAACCATGAAACAATGTCTCTTAAGTCTTTTCCTATTAGTAGAGGTTGTATAAACGTATAAGTTGACAGCATTAAAAAATGAAACCCATGTAACAAGATCAAGACCCCACTTCATTCTGATTAACAAGTAGGGGTTAGAAATGTTCTCCTAATGAAGTCACTGAAGAAGCATTTTGTAAGTTCACAAAGTTGACGTCCTATTTTTTTTCTCACGCTATTCATAATTTGACAGAAACTTAGCTGTAAGATACTAAAATGCATGATTTTTATATAACTGACAACTATGATTAAAGGCGAAACTGAAAATGATATTTTATTTACGATGCTAGAAAAACACGTAGGTTCAAGAAGTCTTGATAGAAATAAATAAAACCCTATAACCCGAGCGGTTTCGAAAAGTGGACCTTTGTTCTTCAGTTTGCCCCTGAAGAAGAAAGGTCTACCTTTCGAAAGCGCTCGGGTTATAGGGTTTTTTTTATTTCTATCAAAATTTTTTGAACCTACGTGTTTTTTT